GAGAGAGAGAGAGAGAGAAGAAAAACGGTAAATGGCAGCAGGTCGAAGGAACGATTCTCGATATCGGGGCTAACCGCGAGACACACACACATACATACATACGCTCGCGCACACAATGGTCGAAGAGCATAACGCAATACGAATAGAATCCATTGGCTGCTGACCGTGCACACAAGAAGTAACGGTGGGTCGTGATGCAAACCGATTTCGAATGCGATCGAGCGATCGTTGGTATGGCTGGAATAGCTGTCCCTTGCATAAAATTCATAGCGACTGTCGACTTTCTTCCCGAATGTGTGTCCCGGTTTCGAGCTGCCACCAGCTTCTCTAGCATCTCGTTTTACAGGGGAAACCCCCCCCCCCCCACTGGCGGTGAAACGTCCGGATATACCGGCGAGGACGATCGTTCTCGCGGCTATCAAGCTTAGACATCAGAAAAAGGCCATTTCGATATCCTCGAATGGAATAGATTTGCATACAATGACCGGGGGGAGAGGGAGGGAGGGGGGAAGATGCAGAGGTATCGAGGAGTTGTGGCCGCGAGTTCGTGGCTATGTGGAACACAGGGACACCGGAGGGTGGTTGGACGAAGTCGAATTCGCCGCCGGGGACGGATGACAAAGCTCCGTTTCCGAAACGAAAAATCGTTTGGCCATTCTTTCGTAGATCTTTCTTGTCGTCGAGAAAGTTGCACAAAGTCGCGCGAACAGGATAAAGTTTCGTTTCGAGGAAACTTTTAGGAATTTTTGGCCGGATCGTTGGCAAATCGGCGAGATCGGTTAGATGTAGCGGAGATTTCTGATTCCTCTTTTAGCATCCGAAGAGGGGATCGTGGTGAAATAGTGATCGATTAACGTACGTAGAGTTTATCTTAAAACGCGAGTTTAAACACGTTCTTTTCAAAGAGATACTTTAAGACGCAAAACTCCTTTGCCGTTCTATGTTATTCTTGGCATCCCCTTGCTTTTACAGCTTTTCATATAAAATAATCGTGTTATCCAACTAGGGAGAACTATCGAACCTGTAAAAATGACAGATTTCGTTTTCTTTTTTTTTTTTTTTTTCTTTTATACGATTATCAAAATGAATTTTTGACAAAATTAAATATTTATAATAGATCGATAGTTTTGTTGTTAATATAGGTAGATACAGTCTTTTGCGATGGTTATCCATGATTCAAAAATATTCGAAATAGCGGAAGAATCGAAACGACGAGTTCGAGTAACTGAATTCGTAAACGATTTCGAAACTCTTCCCGGTCGAGATGCAAAGGCGACGCGTGCACGATTTATCGGGCAAGACGATCGTTTTCTACTAATGTAATCCTGCCGTTCACCGCTTTATCGTGATTTGTGTAAATACCGATGTTTCGGGGGACCCCGCGCGTCCGTCGTAAATAAAAAAAAGAAATGGGAACCGATGCGATCCGATGGCTGCTTCCACGGCTCCTTCTGCTCACGCAACAAGTCTCCCGCCGAGAGGATGACTTATCGCGCCCCTATCGTGGCTGGAGCTTGCTCCATTTCCTTCTCCATCTCCGTCTCCTTCCGACTCCTTGAGCCCAGCCTTCCTACTCCTTCTTCATCCGAGGACAAAACCTGGCCCAAGATTCCAATCTTCCAATTTGCAAAATCAAGACGACGTTTAACGATTATCCTCGAACCGATCCACTTTTCGCCCAGACACACACACACATAAATACATATATATATATATATATACAGTGGCACCGATCTACCGATTCACGGAAGATCCTGCTCGTTGCAGATAAGGATAATGTTTTATGCGTTATTATAGCCCCGATATCGCGGTATCGAATCCCTTGCCTGCCTCCCCTCTGCCCGAAATAACGCTAAATAACGATCCGGCCAACCTTCCCTTCCACGTTGCGTTCCTCGTTAAAAACACCGCCATTGCGCGTTCAATTCTTCGATCGAATCCCGGATACGCGGATATGATTTAATCGCGTCCGCGCTCCCCGTCGGTTCTGCCGAACACCGGGCCACCCTTTTTACCAACGTTACCATCGTTTCACATTTCGTTTCATTATTGAGCAGAGTTTTTCCACCATCACCCCTCCTCTCCTCTCCTCCTCTCTGTTAACAATCGCAATCATTTTTCGCGGGATACGTGTAACTCCGCTGCCGGCCAATGCTCCCGAACAATGCTCCCGATTTTAACGAACAAACAAACGGGAATTTCCAACTTTTATTTTTTCGATGAATTTAATTTCGTTCTTTTTTTTCTTTCTTTCTTTCTTTCTTTCTTTCTTTTTCTTTCCAAATGACCTCTCCTTTTTTCCCCCTCCCTTTCGTTCGTCACTTAAGCTTTCCTCCTATCTTTTGCTGCGCGCTTTAAGCGCAGTTATACACACCGATACACGCGCGAGAGACACGCGCGGCTTTGTTCGAGAAAAAAATTTTCCCCGTTTCACGCGACAATGTTTCCACTCCGCCCATTCGCTCGACCCTCTCCCATCACTTTTCTTACATCCCGCATGAATATTCATACGAAAAATTAATCGCCGCCTCTTATCGCCGGATAAAGCGAGTGCAAGACGGAGAAATCGTAGGATTAGAAGGTGGACACACGGTGCAATTAACACACGGTCGAACACACGTCGAGGGAAGAATTGGCAAGCGTCGCCCACGCGCTAGAATTCGCTAGAATTTACGGGGGGATCGATACGCGTAAGTAGTTTTGTTAACAGCCGCATTAGGCTATCGCGCCGTTTACCGAATGAGGATCGTAGGTAAATGGTCGAAGGAACGACGACGCTGCGTAGAAACCCTTGTTACCACACGATCGAGAGCGACAGACGTCCTCCGCGGACGAAACGTCGACGAAACTTTCTTTCGAAAATTTTACGATTATCTTCGAGCCGAGCAATGGACTCCATTTTCCTCTTCCCTGCAAAATTGGATCGCTGGATTCCACGCTTTCTTTCTCTCTCTCTCTCTCTCTCTCTCTTTCTTTCTTCGTTACAACTTTCCGTTTACGGAATCGCGAACTTGTTAAATGGTTGGGATTACGAAAGAAAGGAAGATGTCGGATTGTTTTATTTCGAAACGAGCCGATGATATTTGGATGGAGGGGGGGGGGAGCTTGGTAAATCCTGTGGATCTGTCAAGGTTGGATTTCCAACGAGACGTCAGGATCCTGGCCGCCCTCGAGGATCGTAACATAGCAAGAGTGCTGGGAGCTTGCTACCGCGAGGAGCCGTACTGCGTGGTGATGGAGTACCTGGAGCACGGCGACCTCTGTCAATTCCTGAAGACGCATATCACTGCCGAGGACGCCCATTCCATGCCGATCGGTGTCAAAACGCTTAGGTGAGTTGTAAACTAACGTAAAGTATCGTTTCTTCCGAACGAAAACGAACGAGAATCCAGACCGACTTCATCGCGGAAAGATGTTTCGCGTGGATCTCGAAGGGAGATCTCGCGAGAATTTCAATAATTACCTCCAGATTCAGTTTCATTCCGGTGTGGTTCGTCGCGAACGCTTAACACCCGATAACTTTCTCCCTGAGTTTGAAGCGTTTATTAATCGTGAGCGACAGTTACTCCTCTCCCCTCCCCCCCCACGGTGGCGTTCCATCGCCACGACCCTCCCTTACGCCCCAAACCTCGAGAGCTCGTGCAATCTCACGCCCTTAACTTTGCCCTCTCGCGACTCACGCCGTTGTTCCCTCGTTTCAGTTTCAACTGTCTCATCTACATGGCGGCCCAAATCGCGTCGGGCATGCGGTACCTGGAGAATTTGAACTTCGTGCACAGGGATCTGGCTACTAGGTGAGTACGGGAGCAAGTTGGAGGGAAACGTATCCGAACGGATCTCCCCTTCCCACGAGGATAAAGCGCGTCTTAGCGGGGGCGCAAACTATCGTCGTTTCCTCCCTGTAAGCGCAGATGTTTTGTTTGCTCCAACGAGGAGGAGGAGGAAGAGGAGGAGGAGAGAGAATAAGAGAGATGTGTAAACGTTGTTTCGACCTCTTGGCAGCGCACAAATACGTATATAAATGACGTCCTTTAATCAAGCTGTTTCGTACTCTTCGCGATTTCATTTCCCTTTAACCGCTCGTCACCGCATCCCCCGAGAAAGCAATTTTCGAGGTTCCTTGAAAGGATTACCTTGATATTTCTCGCAGGATGAAGGATTTCTCTATCTTTCGCTCTGGGATATAAACTTCCGTTTTTCCCCTGCTTTATATTCGATTTCGCGTGTTTATACTGATTTATTTATTTATTTATTTATTTTCTTCTTCTTCTTCTTCTTCTTCTTCGTTTCGAGTTAAGTAAAAATTCGATATCTGGGCGAATGCAATTTGCAATCGTTTCCTTCTTTATCACAAAATTCGATTTATCTCTTTATGAAATTTTTTTCAATTCTTTATGAAATTCTTCATCGGAGGCGTTCTTCCATTTCTAAAATTTATCACAAATTTTTTGTCAAATTTATCGTTCATTCTCCGTTCGAAGTTTTGAACGAAAGTTCATCGCGGATACGAATATCTCGTGATAAGGAAAATGTACAGAATTTGTACGAAAGAATGTGTACGTAAGAATTAGAAGCTTGGTTAGAAAAATATCTCCGATCTCGCCGCTTTAAGTCGAAATTAAATTATTGCTTTGCCGGGCTGTATTTTCATAAGCCCCCCCCACCCCCCCCCACCCCTCGAAAACAAACGGAGCCGCAAAACCGCATGGGAAATCAGCGATTCGTTAGCGATACGTCGGGCGGAAAATAGCATGAACGGATAGTTTATTTTCCCGTGGAATAACGATTAAACGTGTACGTTCCACTCATTATCGGTTGTACGTCAACATGGAAATTGTTTGCACGGTTTATTACAACTATAAATTAATCCGGCTCGAATGTGCTGTAAAATTTCTCTTGTGCTCCCAACTTTCCGGCATGGTTGATACGGAATTATCGCGTCAACGAATCGCCCCTCGTTTCGAGAAATTACATCTCGACCCGATGGAGGCTAGATGCAAATTGTTACGCCAAGTGTAAACGCGTGGCAAAGAGAATTTTCGCGTAGAACGTAACACAGTGGAGGAGAGATTTCTCCGATTTTTTCCCCATCAATTTTATCCCGATACGTTTCGCGAGTCATTTGTTTCCATCAATATCGTTTCGCTCTACGATATTTTTACTTTCTCTCTCTTCTTTTTTCAATATTTTTCAATTAATCGACGTCGGATAAGTTTGATGGAATATATTTACATTGCTCGTTGTACGAATATTACGGTATGAACAGATATATTTTTATAATTTAGATATGTTTGTATTGGCCATCGCTGCTCGAATCCTAACCATGCTTTGAATTAATGCATCGCTGTAAAATGAGGATGCAAATGTTCACGCGTCTCGTTATAATTATAATTTCACACGATGAAAATGAAAATATTCATCGGATGTCTACTATGTTATTCTAAATCATTTACGAACAATATTATTATTTTTTTTTTTGTATTTTTTAATAATTACGCTAGGTAATTAAAAATTCGATCAATTTTGAGAGAGAGAGAGAGAGAGAGATTAAAAATTAATTAAAAATTCAAAGGAAGAAAGAAGCAAACGCCGATATCCTCGAACGAAAGTCTTGGTTGATCTTTGACATTCTATATAAGGGGTATAATATCCAAGGATCAGAAAGATCCTTGACTTTCACGGACAAAAGCATACATGGAACGAAACCCATCCATGTTCCTGTTATTGAAATGCAATGACCATCCCCGTCGAATCGATGGGAAGTATTGATGCACAACACACGTGCATATGTGCTCCACATACATATTCACGGTAACCGCGGTGCTCTTACAACGCGTGGAGCCTAGTTTCCGGTTGACCAGTGTCTCTCAAACGACCGCTCGTAAATCTTAATAGAATACCAGGATGCGCTTCCTCTTCGTTCTCCGTTCTATTATTACGCTACTCGATTCTCTCTCTCTCTCTCTCTATGTCCGTCCAATTATTTAAGTTCATCCAGTATGAATGCAAATACGTTGAAGGCGAAAAATTGCTCCAAAAAATTGTTGAATATTTTTTGTGGACAACGTTATGAAAACGACTATCTGACAATGACTTTCGTTTTCGATGTAGAAAAAAAAAATTTTCCATCGAATACGTTCGAGAACAAAATTCTGGAAAATTACTTTCGAGAGTATTTTATTTTATTTTATTTTATTTTATTATTTTTTTTTTTTTTAAGTCGAACAATATTACATCTGACAGTGATTTTCACTCGCAATGTCCGAAAAATAATTTTCCTGTAGGTGCGAATATGTTCGAGAGCAAAACTCTCAAAAAATTACTCTCGAAAATATTTTTTTTTTTTTTTTCAAGCAAATGGACAATGAGAATATCCGAATCTCGTTCTCAATGCAATAACTGGTAGAAAATTTTCGAAATCAACAATCTCGAACTCTTTTGGATTCGCACGTTGTCGCGAGACGACGTATTTTTATTTTTCGTCTTTCCCCTTTTTTCCAACGTAATAAGACAAAAAATTGTCAGAAATTTAATACAATTAATTTTATTTAACAAGATGGCGAGTAAGGATCAGTAGAAAAATATATATATATATATATATATATATATATATATATATAT